AGAAAGAAAGAAAGAAAGAAAGAAAGAAAGAAAGAAAGAAAGAAAGAAAGAAAGAAAGAAAGAAAGAAGAGAAAGAGAGAGTAATGAGACAAATAACCTATTTGGTATTAACAGACCCGGCCTCAACAATTAGAACAAGATTATCTTAGTCATTGGCTTACACCTTTAAAAATATAAATTTAAATAGAAATATTGAGACTATACTAGGAAGGCACATTGGAAAGCTGTATATATGAATAACGAACACATAAATACTACAAACACGTTGAAAATGTCCAAGTGTGAAATGAAATAATCGCGACCTTCAGATTCAGGAAGTGTGATCACAGACTAGGATCCTTTGACAAATAGCCTATAAACGGGTTCAAAAGTGCTTGCCTTGACATGCATGGCTTCCTTCCCCGGCACGCAGAAAGCAGGAAAGGGAAGCAGAATGGCTGTGACACCTGGTAACGTGCGCCACATCTTTCTGAGCCTCAGTTTTCTCAGCATGTGAACGAACATGGCATCCATGCTGTGCAGTTTTGAAAGTTAAACAGAATATATGGGACACCTATAGCTCTGTGATAAACGGCTACCACCCAGTGTGTGAAGGTTAAGAACCTATGTTTCGACATACATTGACCTTAAGAAGTCATGCTTAAAAAAAAAAAAAAAAAAACGCCTCTAACTGTATGGGGAAAACAAAACAAAACAAAACAAAAAAACAAACACTTAAAAAAAAAGAAGGGAGTCTAAAACTTCATGAAAGTCAATTTCTTATTGTATTTTCTTCTGTGTTAGTTACAGCGCACACATCTCCATTTATTATGTTTGAACGAAAATTCAGTATCAAACCAAAGGGGGAGTTACCATCCATATTCTTATATTTCATCACTGACACATAGAAAAAGAGCAGTAAATTAGTTTTAAATTAGGACATAGTCTTTTCATTTCTCATGGGAAAATATTCTTTCATGTCAGTGAATTCCCGGTTGGTTTTCCATTGCAGCCTTAGAAGGACTTTGTAGCCTAGGGACTTGGCAAGAGCACGCAAACTGGACCCACTTACACTGAAGGGTAACTTTTCTAAGGAATTTATATAACCATTGAAGAACTTGTGAGTGGTGTTTCTTAAGTGAATTGTCTACAGAAAGCTAGCACAGCAGGATACATTTCTTTTTACGTGAGTTTAATATTTGAAAGAGCAACTTGTAGATGGTTATCTGTCCTCTGGTTTCTAGCCAATGCTGAAGGGCCAAGGAGAAGGGAGGGAAAAAAAAAAAAACAACAGCAACAGTTTTTAACCGCAAGGAAGTTGCACAAGATTCCCACAGCTCTTTTGTGGAACCGACTGCCTGCCAAGCAGGGGGCACTAGCTGTCTCCTCTGTGAAAGCAGAGATGGGAAAGGCACAAGACTCTCTGAGGGCTGTGTGGACATCTTAGAGGACGGAGGAGCTGAGAGAGTGGACAGGCTTGGCTCTGCTGGCCTGGAGAAGGAGTGTCCCCTTGTTTGGGGCTTCAGTGCTGATGTGTCTTAAAAACCTTATAGATCTTTTTAGACATAATGGACAGTAGCAATTGCTTTAGTTCTTTTGTGACTTAACGCAGCTTTCACAGTCTTAGGGTGACGTAAATGTGATAACTTGCATCCCATAATAGATACACATATTGACCCTGAGAAGCACAGTGCCGGTGTTGCCTAGACTACAAAAATAGTTTAGTGCCCAGTCTGCTATCTCCAGACTTGTATTATTCACACTTGGATGTTCTGATCCATGTGGACAAGATAATTTCATTTAATTCACACTGTCTTTCAGTTGCCACATGTGAGATTTCTGATAGCAGGATATGATTTTGCTAAGATTACAGATACATACATTTTCCTTGGTGCTGGTAGGTACTCCTGCCTTTTCAATTATTTGACATTAAAAATAATATTGTATCACATCTTTCTAACATCTACTCTATGTTTTATATTATTTCTTCTGAAAACAATGTTTAGGATTGGGAAAAGCCAAGGTGCTTGCTAAGAGACATGAGCAAATCACAGCATAGACTACACACAGACACACAGACACACAGACACACAGGCTTTACGGAAACCTTTAAAAAAAAAAAAGTGTTTCAGAGCTGGGTAGTGGTGGCACACAGATTTAATCCCAGTACTTGGGAGGCAGAGGCAGGCAGATCTCTGAGTTCCAGGCCAGCCAGGACCACAAGGTATATTCTGCGGAAGCCAGAGTTACACAGAGAATACCTGTCTCAAAAAAAAAAAAAAAAAAAAACAACAACAACTGTTTTTCTGTGTACCATTATCAAAGTGTTTTGGAATGGTAGTTGCTGCTTATCATTCTATCTGTATAATAAGCAAGCCAAGGCCCCCGGTGAGTGGCTAGAAATACTGTTGTCCCACCGGCTAGTGTAATATACATTTTGGGTTCTTTTAAAACTCAGTTATGTCATGTAAGTGTGTTTTTGTTTTGACCCCGAGCGCGGGATTTTTCGTTGAGGCTTCAGTTTGTCCACAGCCGATAACTGGTCTCTGTCAGCTGGTAGCGGCCACTGAGAGGGGCTTGGTCTAGGGCTGCAAGGAATAGGAATACGAACCCAGAGAGAGACAAGGTGGCATGTGGTAGTGGAGGTGGCAGCTTAGAGAAAGCGGCAACGCGTGATGCTGTAGCGGCTTGGAGGAGATGGAGGAGACTGCTTGCTTGCATTTGCTGTTGACAGAGATTGCTGTAGCCCCTAAGAGCCCATCAACCCTAAACAGCTGGAGAAGTAAAGAAATCTGTGCCCCTCTCCCCACTAACCTTCTCTCTCCTGCCTAGGGTTGGGAGGTTGGAAGGAAGAGGCTTTAAGGAATCTCGAATAAAATAGAGTTGAAAAACAAGTGCTACAGGCTACAGGCCTTTAACTTTGCACTCTGAAAATAAGAACCTCCTGTTTAGAGATTCCTCTCCCTGTCTTTTCTTCTAATAGATTTATTTTTCTGTGTGTATGACTTTCAAAAAGTCCACTCCAAACCCAGTCCCCAGTCTCAAAAACATGTAGAAATGATAGGAAAAGACCTATCAAGAAGTCACATCTCTTAGCTTTCACATACACCACATTGTTAAAAGAATGTTCTGGAAGAGTTTTTGAGAGGGAAATGCCGCTCTGTGGTTAGGTATAATCCAGCTGGTAATATAGATTCGATTTGATAATGCATTTCCCATTTGACTCAGAAAATGAGTGTCCCTGGGGGTAGATTATATCCAGGAAGGAAAGATGACTGCAGGAAGGTAGTCATTATTACTAGCTAGTTTTCTAGCCACACAACAAAATGCTTGGCACTGCAAGAGCATTTCATATCCCAGAGTGAAAGGCTGTGAGTACCTTGTGTGGATGATTGGAAACTATGGGGTGAGGTGCCAAATTTTTCAAAAGACAGGGAAACACAAGAAGAGAACGTTGCAGTTTTAGAACATACCCAAGTCCACCTGAGCCTTCTGCAGCAGAATGCTGGGTCAGAATCTCCTCTCCACGGCTAGCTACTGAGCGGAGCAGGCTTTTCTGCTCAGCCAGCTCCTGTTCAAACTCCTGCACAAATGCAAACACAGTTGTCACTTCAGAGAACTGTCACTGCTCTTTATCTAAAGAATATCTCTGCACAGTGTAGAAGGAACAGTTTAGGCAAATTCTCTTGTTCTGATTAAGTGTCTGGGAAAAGCAACTGGAACAGAAAAGTTTTGCTGGACTACGGTGCCCCCATGTGGTAAAACACATTCCTTTCTTTCAAAGTCAATGCTGCCTTGAGCTAGCCAGGACAGACTCCTTACATGCATTAGTTCAGGACACTCTTATATTTATTATCAACTGATCTGGTTTGGACTCATTCACAGTAAATGAGTTTATGCTTTGACATGAGAAGATACTCTTGTATGCCTTTTTCACAGAGTTTCTTAAAAAATATTTATCAACAGAAATCATTTGAATCATAACCATTTACAATCTGATCTTGTAAAGCGTCTAGCAGAAAGTAAAAACCACATTTCATTTCTTTAAAAAAAAAAAAAAGGTATTTTGAGCTCTGCCCATTCTTAGAGGCCAATCTGGGATTTTTTTTTTTTTTGTTTGTCTGTTTGTTTTATAGCAGAATAAGTGCAAACAAGGTCAAATCAGAAAGCAAAGTGTTCCTCAGGAGGCAAATTACAGAGGAACCATATCACTGTATACACACACTAGCTCTGTAAGGAGGAGCCATTCCACCATCCGATCAGATGTGGGGAAGCATGCTGAAAATGCTAGCTATGCCTTGCTTCATCTAGAAATAAGGTAAATTCAAGCAGTGAAGAACTGTGTCAATGCTGGGAGGTGTCACCCAGTGGAACACTGGTCTGGCCTGGGCTCCATTCCCAGCATTGAAAACAAAAACAGAACAAAACTACCTCAACAAAAACTGTGGCCATAGAAACCTCTCTCCCCCCTCCCCCAACACACCCCAGTTCTTCTCATGGCAGAGCTGCCCTCTAGAGGAAGGGGGAAAATGCTTTACTTTTTGCTGCTGGAGGCTGCTCTGCCTTTGGTGAGTCCGTGTGGTGCGGGCTTGAGCCAGCCATTCCTGTACGCCAGGGCTCTGGGTGGCTGTGAGGTCAACATCGTTTTCCTCTTTCTCTTGTGTGGCTCCCTGCTTCGAATAAAATGAAACAGGAATCAAGGGCCATACCGCCCGCAGGGAAACCTCATCCCAGTGCAGAAAAGACCACTTTGGTGTGGTTTGTATAATGATCTCAAACCACCACCATTTGGATATTACACAACTTTTTTTTTTTTTAAACATGAAGCACATCTAAGTTGTGACATTTTTAGGAGCAAGAAGAATAAACAGATGATTATGCCCAGAATCATTTATAAGGAAGCCCATTTTTCCCAAAGTAGTCATCAAATATTATTCTAAACGCTTTCCCAAAAATTTGAAACTCTACCCTTTTATGAACTTTTTAAAGTCACAGAAAGGTAAAATGTTGCCTAGATGATCATTATATGTCAAAATTTGCTGCCTTTCCTCTAAAAGCTTCACCCTGCCCCCACTTCTGTCCAGATCACGTGGTATCTATCCACAGTGGGCACAACAGCCGGTGCTTGCTTCTCAAAGAGTTTTCTAGGTCCCCAACCAAAGACACCAACGCCTCTGAGAGACGGTAAGTCCATGGTTGAGGTCACATTCTAGAATTCAGGAAGAAGAGCAAGACATGATGGCCAACCCTGACTGTCAGCTTGGCTGGGTGGAGGATACATAGGAGAACAGTAAGGCACATGTCTCCCCCTCTGTTAGATCATGAGGGCTCTGACCCAATCCGTGCTTTTAATCCACCCATGGATTCAAAAATCTAAGTAGACTATCAGGAAATGGTGGAACAAGGTAAAAAGCAGCTCAAGGGTGGCATTTGAAGGGTATTTTACTTATTTATTTACATTTACAATTATTATTATTATTATTTTGCTTGCCGGAGTTGAAAAGCTTTGCTTTGCTGTGCCCTTAAGTAATGATGTCCCTGCCTTACCACTGATGTTAACAGCTGGCCATGAAGCCAAACCTCTGAAAACACAAGGAAAAATAAATATTCCATTCCTGAGGCACTTCTGTCAGGCATTTAGTCACAGTGCTGGGACACTTCATAAAAACCAAAAAGAGCTTTAGAGACAGCTGAATATCTTCTGCTCCTCGCCACCTCCACCCCACCCCACCCTGTAGCCTCTTACACTTAGAAACACACAGCAAGAGCTTCCATATGGTTGAACATCCTCTGCCTGCTCAACCTCCCTGCCCAACACCACCACAGCCTAGCCTCTTCAGCTCTTCTTTCAAGAGTTGCAGGAAGTGGTCAACCACGGGAACAATGGTGGTTGGCAGAGCACTTCAAGAGGCAGGAAGCCTTTACTCTCCCCAACCACTGACAAGAATGCATTTGGAGCCTACCACAGAGGGTCTCTGAAAGACCCTACCCAGCAGGGTATTGAAGCAGATGCTGAGACTCATAGACAAACTTTGGGCAGAGTGCAGGGAATCTCATGAAAGAAAACGGGGGGTGGGGGGCTCCACAAGGAGAGCAACAGAACCAAAAAATCTGGACACAGGGGTCTTTTCTGAGACTGATACTCCAACCAAGGACGATTCATGGAGATAACCTAGAACCTCTGCACAGACATGGCAGCTCAATGGCCAAGTGGGTTCCCTAGGAAAGGGAACAGGGACTGTCTCTGACATGAACTCAGTGGCTGGCTCTTTGATCACCTCTCCCTGAGGGAGGAGCAGCCTAATCAGGCCACAGAGGAAGACCATGCAGCCAGTCCTGATGAGACCTGATAGACTAGAGTCAGAGGGAAGGGGAGGAGGACCTCCCTTATCAGTGGACTGGGGGAAGGGCATAGGAGGAGATGAGGGAGGGAGGAAGGATGGAGTTGGAGGGGATGAGGGAGGGGGCTACAAATGGGATACAAAGTGAATAAATTTTAATAAATAAATAAATTAGGGGGGAAGGCCACGCTAACTGGAGTTGGTGGTTTAAACAATAAATTAAAAGTTTAAAAAAGGGCCCATAGCAGTTTGGTGTCCAAGTGGGTTACATAGTAATGGGAAGAGGGACTGCCTCTGACATAATCTGATTGGCCTGCTCTTTGATCACCTCCCCCTGAGGGGGGAGCAGCCTTACCAGGCCACAGAAGATGACAATGCAGCCACTCCTGATGAGATCTGATAGACTAAGATCAGAAGGAAGGAGAGGAGGACCTCCCCTATCAGTGGACTTGGGGAGGGGCATGCGTGAAGAAGAGGGAGGAAGGGTGGAATCAGGAGGGGAGGAGGGAGGGAGGGGCTTATGGGGGGATACAAAGTGAATAAAGTATAATTAATAAAAAAATAAATAAATATTAAAAATTGGGTAATTTTTGTTTTTGAAAAAAAAAGTTTAAAAAAGGGTGTCAAGTTGGAGAGAGATTGTGAGCATCCTGGGGCAGTAGAGGAGGGGAGTAAGACGTGGGCATGATCAAGACAAACTGTACACTGTATATATGTATAAAAGTTTCAAATATTAAGCAAAAATGTAAAAAGTTATAGAAATTAAAAATATAAAAATGCTTATAAACTAAGTGTATAAAGAAGGCAAGGCCTACCTATTAATCCCCTAGACTTGAATTAATTCTTGAACTCCTGATTCGTGAATGACTGCTATTCAAAAACATCTATTTATATACTTCTGTATAATAAATAGTTCCCAGCGGCCTGGAGGCAAAGGCAGGTATACATCTGTGAGTTCAAGGCCAGCCTGTTTTACATAGCAAATTCCAGGATAGCCAGGGCTACATAATAGAGAAACCCTTTCCTCTGACAGCCGCCCCTCCCCCACAATAATAAATAGCTCCTGTTCCAACAGGAGTTTTTCAGTGCCCTTAAAATTAGCATGATAAATTGGGCAGCAATGGTATACACCTTTAATACCAGTACTGAGGAGGCAGAATAGGGTGAATCTCTTAAGTTCAAGGCCAGCCAGGGCTACACTGAGAAACCCAGTGTGGGAGGGGATTAGCATAATTAATTGTCATTAACTGTGGGCACAGTGCTAGCTATGCTACAAATTCAAAAAGCTACCTGGGGGTTTTAAAGAGCCTTGGTGTGATAATTACAAGGGACAATCCTCCAACAAGCGGAGGTCTCGCTTTATTTCATGACTGCCCAGCCCACCCACTGCCTTGTTGCCGCTTTGGTAAAGTCTGGCTAGGGAAAAAAGCAGGAAAGCACTTTCTTATCACACAGACAAGCTTCTGGCATCCATTATTCTAATGGTATGCAAAAAGTCCAACTAGCCTCGTGCTTCATCCTGAGACCAGTTAAGAGCAGTTAAGGATCAGGGCCTGTCTTTCTGCTCCACTGCATTTATATGTGAAGGGATGCGTCAGAAGTTCTTCACACCGTCTATCCACTAAACACATACTGTGCATCAGACACTGCCGTAGGAACTCAGAGAGCCAGGCACGAGGCAGCCAGACAAGGGCCTGGCGGGGAGGCCGAAAACTGACGGAAAAGTAAGAAACCTTGCACAGACTTAGGAGAGCGCATCTCACACTCCAGCTATGGCTCCACTATGGCTCCAGCTATGGCTCCACCATGGCCCCACGCAGAAACATAACTGAGATCAGCATGGAAGAGGCCATCACGGCTACAGTCTGTTGAGAGAGACAGCTGAGTCATCCTGCTATCAACTCTGAAGCTGACTGGACCCCAAGTAGGAAGGCAAACAGGGTCCACCATGCCAGTTCACCATCCTGTCTAGAGATGCCCTGCTTTCTCTTAGTTCCAGCATTCTAACTTGGCACTCCTGGGAAAGGGCTTTGGCTTTCTATACTTGTGTTCTGTTTCCTGCAATCTCATGATTCATGGTTGTACATGCTATTTTCATGTCAACTTGACATAAGCTAGAATCATCCAAGAGGAGGAAATCTCAATCAAGAAAATGCCTCCCTAAGACAAGGCTGTAGGAAAGTCTGTGGGGCATTTTCTTAATTAGTAACTGATGTGGGAACCAATATTAGTAATCAGGCAGCTCAGCCATCAGCCCCAGGAACCTGGCCATAGCAGAACACTGTCATCACCAGCCTGACACCCTTTCCGGCCGCCAGGAGCCATGGGTCAGTGTCTGAACATGCAGTGTTGCGACAGCTTTAGACAGCTGCAAAGCACACACCTACCTCCTGTGCATGCTCAGAGTCACCTTATAAAAGAACCCGTCTTCTTTCCCTCCCTCTCTCCTTCCTGCCACTTCTCCCAGAAGCCACTTCTGTGTTCCCCTCCCCTAATAAACCTGTCACAAGGCCTGCCTTGTGGTGTGACTTCTTGGATTACATCATCTAGCTCTGCTGCCTAAAACCCAACAGCCAACCCATTGTGGGTGGTGCCATCCCTGGGCTAGTGGTTCTCGGAGTGCTATAAGAAAGCAGGCAGAACAAACCATGAAGAGCAAGGCCACTCCTCATGGCCTCTGAATGCATCAGTTCCTGCCTCCAGGTTCCTGTCCTGATTGAGTTCCTGACCTCCATGATAAAATGTGATTCAGGATCCATAAGCCAAATAAATCCTTTCCTCCCAAAGGGCCTTTGGTCATGGTGTTTCATCACAGCAATGGTAGCCCTAAGACAATGGTGTGATGACTGAGATGACGGTCTATCTCTTCGTCTCTGAACCTTGGAGTCCCTGCTCTACAGTGTAAAAGAAATAGTCTACATCCCTGTACCAGCTCCTGTGTTGTAGGCATGTACTTCCTTTCCCTGAACGGCAACTGGAGAAGGCAGAGCAGGTGAAGGACTTTGGCCTAAAAGATGCTATTTGTATCTTGCAACATGTTTGGAATGGGTGATCCATCATACCTCCCCCACTAAATGTCTCTCCTTCCCAGGAATTTCTCCTAAAGTTGAATAATAGTGATTTTCTGGAAAGTACGGTTTAGGTGAGTGGGATTTTAGCACAGGAGACCGAAGAACACCATCAATTTCAGAATGAACTCTCAGAGAGCCCAGCTCATTCATGAAAGACAGAGAAAATGGGTTAGATAGGAGCCTTGCAGAACACAAGACACACAGTGACATTAAGGAATCAGCATAGCAGAGTGAAGTCCCCAACCACGGTCATTCCCGCTGACAGAACACTGGTCATGACCTTTGCCTTTTCTCTTGGGATCCAGGCCACTTCCTCCCTGCTATTTAAGTCAGCTAAGGTTTGCTTTCCAGAGCCCGTCTAGAAGATCCCTTTAGAGACTCCTCACAGAACCCACTCCCAATTCTGTATGGGCTATTCTTCTTGGACTGCCAGAGTGTCTTTCAAATCAAATCATTTATAAAGACAATAGTTGGAATGGGAGCCATTGGAGCCACTTATGTACAGATGGACTCTCGGGTTCTGAGACTTCATCTGTGTAGAACACAGCTTCAGATGAAACAAACAAACAAAAAACAGCATCAAAAATGGTCACGTAGGATGTGTTTTTTCTATTGCTGTATTGTTTCTTTCGGTTAGATTTTTTCTGACTCATTTAGTCACTTTGAAAGCTAAGACTGGCCCTCAGAGAGCAAAAAAATGATTAAGAATCCACTTTGAATTTCAGTTCCTTCTCCCTGGGGTAAGGCAGCACTGGCCGCAGCAACGCCACCTGTAAATTGCTATTCAGGGGTCTGTTGAACAGGTTTCCATGTTGCCTTGGGAGAAGAAGTGAGAGTGTTTCTGTTGCCAGAGATGCACTGTGTAGGGCTACCTAGGATATTTAGTTTGGAAAAGTAGAACAGTCACCATTTTTCCTCCTAGAATATTCCTTAGAAAAACAGTGAGAACTGGGAAATGTTAAGCTGAGATCAGCCATTTCATTATAAAGCAATTTTCTATTGATATAGGGTGAATTCTATGCTACTTTTATAGGTGACGTTGTGCAAAAATGACCCAAGTTTCTTATGCAGACAGACACCTTCTAATTCAAGAAATATTTTAGCATATCCTTAAGTCTTCATTGCTTCATGCCTTCCTGGGAGAAATGGAGAGACTGGGTCTTCACTGATACCACACCAGTTACTTTGTAAAACAACAAAATCAAACAAGTGGGGCAACAGACATTATACGCCACACATATTACAATAGCACGGAGAAATACAGGTTAAGTGTGCAGTTCTTGGCCACACAGTAAATGCTGAGATCCGCAGGGCATCTGATCCTGGGGTAGGAAAGCAGAGGAAGCATGGGAAGGTAAAAGGAAGGAAGGAAGGAAGGGAAGGGAAGGGAGGGAGGGAGGGAGGGAGGGAGGAAGGAAGGAAGGAAGGAAGGAAGGAAGGAAGGAAGGAAGGAAGGAAGGGGAAGGGAAGGGAAAGGAAAGGAAAGGAAAGAAAGAGCAGGGCAGGGCTCCTGTGTCCTTTTCCATTTGTCTTGTGCTATGACTGTTATTTGACCTTCAGTTCTATCCTACTCCAACTGTGGGTATAGGCTTACCATGTAACTCCTCTATTCCTGACCAGCACAATGGTCTTCCACACCCTCACAGTTAACACTAAAGTCTCTAAGACTCCTGTGATGTTGTCTCAGGTCCTTTGTTATCATTGGAACCTCATCCCCACTGTGATATTAACTGGAAGGACCAAGGAAGGTGACAATACTGGATTTAACCTTGCTAAAGAGGAGATCCCAGGAAGCCAGCTGCCTCTACTTCCCTACGAGGATACAGGGGGAAGACTGTGAATTGGCAGAGAGCCCTCACTGGACACTGAAGCAGCTGGCATCTTTATCAGACTTCCAGGAGTCCAGATCAGTGTGCAGTCTCTTTGTTGTTTCTATAGTACTTGGTTTGTGGAAATTTTGCTAGAGCCAACTAAAGTGCTAGAGACACAGCTTGGTCTCATTTGTCTCTGTTACTCCTGTTGTGTTGTGCAGGCAGTTCAACTGGCCTTCCCTCGGGGACCTTGAGGGTCCTAACAGTGTCCTATGTCAGTACCTACGTCCTATGACATCATCTGGGTCATGTACATAGTGACCTGTCGGCCACTCCCTCACTCTCTTGCTCTTCCGCTCCTTGCTTTCTCTCCCCTCTCTCTGTCAGGGCACCCTTCCCCCTGCCATGTCTCTCTCTTCCTCTCTCTCTCCATCTCCATCCAATAAATTTCACTGAATTTAAGATTGGTTGTGTGCACAGCATTTTTATATAAATACTAACAACTCTACTACAGGTACATTGGCTTTGGACAGACAGAGCGTAATCCATCTCGGCAGTCTTCACACTAGCTTTCCCTTTGACTAGACTCTTAAAGTATGGGACAAATATAGTAAAAATAAAAGTACATGTGTGCTACCTATCACAACAAATTTAAATCGATTAAACATGTCCTTTAGAAGTATGAGATGAATATCTACAACCAATGACTAAAATCAGATATATAAGAAAAAAAATCTAAAATATAAGGGCACAGAGATGCTGAAATAAAAAGAAAGTTGAGACATAGGTCAGGCAAACAATGCCCAGAAACTCCAACAATGTAAAATAAAATTGACCATCAGGAATCACAGTGTTACAGGGGGAGGACTCATTCACCTGGCGTAAGGGAGGATTTGAATGCAGAAACCACACACAACAGTCTGAATACACCTAGAGTGGACTGGAAGAGGAATCCAAACAAAAGCACATTCAGCACAGCAGAGCTTCGCGCTCAGACCTGTGTGTCAATCCATGCTAATAGCCTAGCTGCACACCCAGACCAAAGCAGAACGTAAGTGAACAAAGTTCATATGTTGGTGGAAGCAAGCACGTACATAGGTGCATTTCAGCCTCCAACATTTTTTTCTCTGCTGACACACTCAGAGACGTATGTGGGGAGGGTGTGACGGATGGCCCCACAGCCAGGCTGCGGGTGGCTACGGGTAGCCGGGCAGCCTGGTAGCCTGGTAGCCTCGGGTAGCCTCGGGTAGCCAAGGATAGCGGAGCTCACCTGCATGCTGAGCTGCCTGTCGTGCAGGGCCCTCTGCAGCTCCAGCAGGCTCCCCTTGAGCACCCTCAGCTTCACAGCCAGCTGTTCCGCCTCATCTTTCGTGTAAGCCTTGCCCTCCAGCAACAGGTTCTCGTTGTGCACAGACAGCTGCGACAGGGCTACCACTTTCTGCTCTATTTCCACAAGCATGTTCTGGAACAAGAGGGAGAGGGGAAAATTCGCACGTCTTGCCAGCCCCTGGAGACCATTTCCAAGCTCAACTTTCAGGAGTCACTTCTCACGAAAGCAGGTCTCCATGGCTCTTTCTACTTTGAAGAAGGATATGCTTCTTGGGGGTGGGGGTGGGGAGGGGATTGCCTGTACTTACCTTTTCTCTTTCTTTAAATATTAGATTCTTTATACTTAAAAATACATTGGATAAAACATATCAACAGCACATTTGGTACAACCAACAAACACAAAGAAAGGCCCCTGCCTGAATGCTATGCCCTAATTAGCCCCATTATCTTAATATTAGATTAGTGATGTTGGTAAAATTATCACACAGTAAACGTCTTTTGTCAATTTAAAGAGAAATTTCTTTCAAAACATTGATTTTGAAGACCACGCTGCCTAAGGACTTGCAATCCTCCTGCCTCAGCCTCCTTAGAGATGGGATTATAGGTTTTATGAAACCACGATCAGCTTCATTCTGTCCTCGTCATCATCATCTTTTTAAAAATATGACACATTTTGATCTTACATTTGAAAATATTTTCCTCATTTCCACAACAAATATTGAAGTTTTTCCTCCAGGAATGGGACTAGACAGAAAAGAAATGGAAAATAATCTCCTTCTTTAAAAGTTAGAACTTTCATAAAACCAGAAAAAAAAAGACTAAAAATATAATAGACCATAAATCATTTTATTTTCTGCATAAATTACTTTGTTTTTATATCATTTGCCTTTAAACTCTTTGAAATGGAGGTCTCTGGCGGTTTGAATGAAAATGGCTCCCATATGAGCCTGTAATCCCAGCACTCTGGAGGGAGAGGGAGGCGGATCTCTGTGAGTTTGAGGCCAGCCTGGTCTACAGAGTGAGTCCAGGACAGCCAAGTATATACAAGTGGCCTTGTTGGAGAATGAGTATGTGTGTTGGGGAGGTGAGGAGTCAGAAGCTCAAGTTAGGTCGAGCAGCTCACTGTCTCATCCTGCTATCTGTGGATCCAGATGTAGAACTCTCAGCTCCTTCTCCAGCACCATGTCTGTCTGCACATCACCATGCTTCCTGCCATGATGATAATGGACTAATTCTCTGAACTGGATGAAATGTTTTTCTTTGTAAGAGTTGCCATTGTCATGGAGTCTCTTCACAGCAAGAGAACTCCTAAGAGAAGGTCCTACGCTGTTATTCAACCAGACAATTTATTAATAACAAAAATGCTTTCTTTCTCTTTAGGAACTAGAGGTTATTGCCATTTTATCAACTCTTAAAAATAAAATTTCATACAAAAAAAAAAAAAAAGCTAAAGCAATGAAGGCGCAAAGCTTTCACTAAAATGGAGATTAAAGGATGCTCTCCCAAGGATTATTTCTGAGAAACGAATGTATTCCGGGTAGGGTTGGTCTGGCATTGCAGGTCATTTAAAATCAAAAGTGACTGAGGAGATTGGCATGCAAGAGTTTCTGGGTCTGACTGCCACCACGGGATAAAGCAGGGCTGCAGTGCAGAGCCGGAATCCCAGAGTACGGACTCCCGAGAACATGAAGCCCAAGTCAGCCTGGGCAACGACGTGGGATCTTACATCAAAAGAAAAGAAAATTAGAAAAAGTAATATAATTATGAACTCAATGAAGATCTTATTAGCCTACATGTACTTTTCACCACAGGGAAAGTAGGCCTCACATGAGCAAAGGCTCCAGGCCCACAAAAGCCATCATGTGTCTTCCTTCCTTCCTTCCTACCTACCTGCCTGCCTATCTTCCTGCCTACCCTCTTTTTTTTTTTTTTCTTCTAAGACATGGTCACTAGGGAACCCTGGCTGGCCTGGAACTCTCCATGTGGACCAGGCTGGCCTTAAACACCTAGAGATTCTCTCCTGTACTCTCCCAAGTGCTGGGATTAAGGGTGTACACCACAAGGCCCAGCATGTGACTCCAACCCCAAGGGACAGCCAATTTTAATTATGAAGTAGATACTTAAATTCAAAAGATTTTCTTTAACGTTTTCATATTAAATTTTAAGTTTATCAGGGTCTAGATTATAACTGGATTAATGTCTATATCTTAAATGATTTAAAATAAATATCAGATTTGAGAGCTCACGCTGATTGGTTTGCTTAGCTATAGTGCATACGCCTCTAATTCCTTAACATATGATGAAAATGCATCTCCCTGCCTTGCAAATGTCCTGAGCTGCATTGTCAGAATAATGTCATCTATGGTGCATTGGGTTTTCCATCCGAGAGAGGGCGTGGCAACAATAATCTAACACAAGTCTGAAGCTCTAGTTTAAATGTTAATTTCAAGCCCTAAAAGGAAACATTAAAATAGATTACACAACTCTCTGACAGAAAAAAAGAGGCTAGGAATAATAGAAAACATCACATCTAGTTGTTTAATCTTCACCATCAGGACAGAGAACAACTCTGATGAAATACGGAGCAGAGTCTTAGAAGTTTTAAGGCATTGCATGATCTAAGTGGTAGTGCTCAGTATCATAAGCCTCAAAATATGGACAGGAAAGACCACTGTGGTACACTATACATTAAGAAGAAAGTGGAGAAGCAGAAGGAGAAGAAGGAGGAAGAGGAGGAGGGGAGGAGGAGGAGGAGGAGGAGGAGGAGGAGGAGGAGGAGGAGGAGGGGAAGAAGAAGAAGAAGAAGAAGAAGAAGAAGAAGAAGAAGAAGAAGAAAGTAGATTAGCTAATGCTATTGGCATATCTCTTTTGATGCCACATGGGTGAAATATGAAATTGTGCTCACTGATGTTTAGCCCTGCAGATTGGGCAGGGTTTTCTGGACATTGTCTTGTTACATATTTTTTTTTTCATTTCTTTTGTTTGTTTGTTTCTTTTTTTTTTAATGTGTATGGGGTTTTTGGCTGTGTGTTTATCTGGCACCACATATACGCAATGTCTCAGGAGGCCAGAAGACGGCATCAGATTCCCCAAGAGTGGGGTTAGAGCAGAGTTACAGATGGGAGTAACTGGGTGCTGGGAATTGAATTCTGAACCTCTGGAAGAGCAGCCAGTGCTCTTAGCTGCTGAACCACCTTCCCCGCCCCTTAAATGAATGATTTCAGGCATATTTCAATCACATGTGAATATAATATGTTGGTAATCATGAAGTTTGAGGGTAGGCACACAAGTTCACCATTTCTTGCTCTACTGGATCTGGATTGCCTTCTACAGGCTGGTACGCTAAAAGCATGGTCTTCAGTGCTATTCGGAGGGTACAGAAACCTTCAGGAAGTGGGGTCCTGTGGGAGACTGTAAGTGCTTAAGTGGACTGTGGGTGCTTCTCTTTCTCTTTTGCACCAAGCAATGAGATGAGCAGGGTTCTTCTGTGTGCTCCTGACATGCTGTACTATGCTGTCTCAAACAATGCTGGAGTGCATGCATGAAACCTCTCAACAGTACAGAAAGGAACCTTTCTTCTTAAGTTGATTGTCTCAGCGATTTCGTTACAGTAGCAAGAAATCGGTATAAGTATCCATAATAAATAATACCAATAAAAACCACTGTGTAAGGCTGTTATAGCTCAGTGATAGGGGCCTTGTCTAGAATGCATGAGGCTTTAAGTTTAATCCCTGTTACATCTTGAGGAAAAAAAGAAAAGAAGAAAAAGAAAGGAGGGAAGGAAGGAAGGAAAAAATCAAGGTTGACGATATTTTAAGGAGCTGGAGATATGGCTCAGCAGTAAAGCACCTGGGTTTGATTCCCAGCATCAAACCAAAGCTCAAACCAAGTCCCATACACTTTTATGAAACAGCTCTGAACCTTTGTGACCTTTATGAAGCTCCCTCCTAATCAGTTATTAGAGGCCTGACATGAAAGGAAACACATCACATGTTTGGAAAGACAAGGCAGATTCCCTGTCTCGATAATGTTGGCAATTGTTGACATTTCCCAAGTACCATGTGAGGATAAGATTCAAAACAGCAATTTAGTACCCAGGAAGCTTCCAATTAATATATTTATTTCAGTTTGACTTATTGATACTAATTCTTCTTAGTTAGTATTTATTTTGTTTGTTTATTTGGTTGGTTGGTTGGTTGGTTTGGTCTGGTTTGGTTTCTTGAGACAGGATTTTTCTGTGCAGACCTGGCTGTCCTGGAACTCACTCCATAGACCAGGCTGGCCTCCAACTCAGAGATCCCCTGCCTCTGCCTCTGCCTCTGCCTCTGCCTCCTGAGTGCTTGGATTAAAGGGATTAAAGATATGCACCACCACCACTGGACTACTTTAATGCTGAGACCTTTAACAGAGTTTCCCACGTGTGGTGACCCCCAACTCTAAAATTATTTCGATGCTACTTCGTAACTGTAGTTTTGGTCCTGCTAAGAATCGTGATGTAAATATTTGATATGCAGGATATCTGGCATGTGACCCCCACCCGGGTCATGACCCACAGGCTGAGAACCGCTGCCCTAGCGCTTCTTCGTACCTGGCAGTCCACCAGCTGGGCATCCATGTCCATGGGCTCCTGGGGTGTGCCAAGTGCAACATCCAGGGTAGCCTTCGTGTTGAGCAGCCAGTGGTCCAGCTCATCCGCCTCGCAGCGGTACCTCTGCAGAGCCTGCTCCTGCCTCTGCTCCTCCAGCTGGTCGTTCAGCTTCTCCTGGGGAGTTAGGAGGACCGGGTACATTTTACCCCGTTCATTCAGATGCGGATTTCTCTAACCCATTATCTGGTTTCAATTTGGACATGGCTTTGTGATGTCTATTCTAAGCATCACCTGTTTCAAGTTTGTATAAACAGGCCCACCATTTGTCCTCCGTCTGCCAATAAAACCCCAACTAGCCAATGCTGAGCAACGCAGAGAATAAGGTGAGACATCCAGGTCCAGTGAGGAGAGGAGAAAGAGGAGAGGAAGTAGGAGATGGAGCCACAAGGAAAGGACCTCCAAGCATCAGGAGAAATGAACCCAACCTAGGAGATGATTAAAAAGCAAGGAAGGGGAGAGGACCTCCCCTACCAGAGGACTTAGGGAGGGGCATGGGAGGAGATAAGGGAGGGTGGGATTAGTAGGGGATGAGGGACGGGCCTACAGCTGGGATACAAAGTGAATAAACTGTAATTTATAAATAAATAAATGAATGAATAAATAAATAAATAAATATTTTTATTTAAGTACCACTGTTCTAAAGGAACAAGAAAAAAAAAGTAAGTATAATGTAAAAATTCTAAATGGGAGAAAGCTATACACGTTTAGAGGTTTAGGATGGAATAGCTATTGCTCAGTATTGTGCTCTAGGCTAATTAAATAAATCAGTCTATAAGTGGTTATTTGAATAGATAGTTGGTTAAAGAGTAACTGCTGCTTAACCAGTAATATTAATCAATGTTAATTATTAGTAATTCTTCTCAGTAACACGGAGGAAGCATTGAGCAGTGAAAGCTTGAAGATGCCACAGAACAGAGCAACAGCCTCAAGCCCTGGCTACACACAAACAACTGGGAAACAAAACAAGTACTTAGCCTCAGGCCACATCTCAGAAGACTAAGTCAGGATTCATGTGTAAAGGACCCCTTCTGCCCCTCCACAAATGGATGTACCCACACATGTTTTTTGTAGAGTAGAAATAACAAGATGGAATTAAAAGGTTAACTTCAGGCTGTAAAGGTTAACATTAACATTAATTAAATGTTAATTAATTAAAAGGTTAACCTGTAATCCCAACACTCAGCAGGCAGATCTCTGTGTTCAAGGCCAGTCTGATCTACGAAGCTAGTTTCTAGGACAGCCAGGGTGGTTTTACAGAGAAAATCTGCCTTGGGGGAAAAGAAGTACTCAGGTGCTCCAAATGCCTCGTTTAAAAAACCATATAATTAGTGTTTATTTTTAAATGTATTTACTTTACGTGTGAAAATGTTTTGCCTCTGATAGATTTGTGTACTATGTGCATGCAGGGTGGACAGAGGCCACAAGAGGAGCCCTGAAACTGGTCGTGGGCCACTGTGTGTGTGCTGGGAACCCAACCCACGGCCTCTGCAAGAATTGCCTCTTAACCACTGAGTTCTCTCTCCAGTTCCAAAATTAATGATCTTTAATGAAGATTTAAACATGGAGACTAGTAAGTAGGAAAATGCACTTTAAGTTTATGAAGAATATGAAACAGAAATATGAACTGACTGACCTTGTGGCTAGTCAGTTCAGAACAAGCCTACACCTTCAGCGATGGGGCCATCATAAATGTAATCATGATGCATTCAGTAAATGAAATAATACTTAGTTTATGAGAAATGTAATAAGGAGCACGGTGATGCAAGGACACAAGAAGCCTGACGCTCACAGGGCCCATCTGAAGCCTGCAGCACACCAACGTGTAGAAGCAATTGCATGAACATCGCATTCCCAAGGGCCCATAATTGTAAGAGGGGAGATACAAAGAACAGCTGATTTTTAGCACCTACTATTCTTGCCAAAATCTACCTACCAAGTAATATTTAAATCCAGTAACACAGGCAACGGAAGTGCAAGTCTACACAAGTCTACACGAGTCTACACAAGTCAACACACTTGAACTGGCTAACAGTGAACAGGCTGGCTTATGCTTCACAGCGTCCGTTTTCTTCCTTAGCACAGGCTCTTGTTTAAACACAGCAAACCATTACTCAAATCTACAATTCTGGTCCATGGAGCTCTAGCAGGTACCTGCTTTCCGCATTCTCGGTGTCTCCCATCTGAAGCACCTTCAGAGATAAACCCTGACTGTGTTCTGTGCCCAAGGCCCCTGGTGCAAACACTACCAGCTTCTTAGGACTGGGCAACAGTAAGGCATACTTTCACCCCCATGTCTATTGCAACACTCACAATAGCCACACTATGGAGTCCAACATCAGAGAATGTATAAGAAAAATGCTGTGTGGAGTATGTGCCTGTGCGCACGTGAACACAATGGGATTTCTTTACAGCCTTAAAGAAGGCTATAGTGATATTATTAGAGGAAAGTTGACATGGCCAAAGGTAGTTACACGAATTAAATTACACCGAAAGGATGAGAATATGGATGTAGGCATGCAAAGACATTTGGCAGAGAATGTGTGTGTGTATATAAACGCTTGAAAAAAATGGATATCAAGAGGAGAATAGGAACAAAAACCAAGCAACGCCCGTTCAGTCCACATCCGCACCCAGAAGAACTGCTCACGAAAACTGAAGCTTGATTCAGGACCTGATGCCCCTCAAAGGCTCGTTACCTCCAAAAGCTGCCTCTTGCCGGCCGCTTTCATCCTGATAGTGGACATCCGCTCAGCCAGGACAGTGAGTGTGGACTGGAGGGCTAGCTGTTCCGCAGGGTCGGACTCGGGAGACTCCGCAGCCAGCTCGTCTGCGAGAGATGCCTGGAGCCCATTGATCTCATCTTGAAGCATCTGCACCTCGTCCATCAGGGCCTGTGGGGAAGACTGTGTAATCACGCTCTTGACTGAGGACTCCAGGCTTTGCCACCACACACCCGCTGAGATCATCGACACACACTCATGCAGATGGCACTGATGGAGCCAACAGGACGGCTCCTAGTTCAGCGTTCAGAATGACACCATGAAGCTGAATGCTGGGGATGTTACTAACTCAAATGGCTTTGAACAAATTAATTAGCATTTCTGGTTTCCAACAGACTCCTCCATAACAGGAGAGGAATCTTCAAGTATGTCTGCATTCATTCTCTTCCTTCTGTACCTAACTCTAAAACTTGGGGCTAACTTCCACCGGCTCTCTCCAGGACCCTCGGCCAAGGTTTTAAACGCTTTCTGAGGCTGACCACCTCCAGGGCATACTCCAAACCCAATGTCCTACATTCTCCTTGCACAGTTCAATGGTGTCACCATCATATTCTGTATCTTTAAATAACATTTACAGAATGCTCTCCTTTCGGGACAAGCTCCTTTACTGGCTCACAAAACACCATGTTAGAAGCCCAAACTGACACCACGGTAAAGCTCCCTATCACCAGATGTAAAGCAAGGCTTTTGTCACCATCCCAGGATTTGACAGATAACAACCAAATCCCCAAACTGCATAGTTTCAACTCGCAAGATAACAAAGCTCTCTCGGCTTTAATCCTTAAACAAGAGAGTAATCTAAAGTAACTACTGAATGGCATCTTTTCTGTTCTGCCTCTCAGTCCTGTTCTTAAAAGTGGGAAAAAACCAAACACACATAGAAATGACTAACTCGCTATCTGTTCTTCAATTCTGGCCTAGTTTGTTTTTGAGATATAGTCTTACTCTATAGCCCTGGGTGGGCTAAAACTCATCACATAGACCGGCCTGGCCTAGAACCCAGATACCTCCCTCCTTAGTGTTGGGATTAAAGACCTGTAACACCACACCCAAGCCTGGTTTGGCTTTTGTTTTTGAGACTGGGTTTCTTGTAGCCCAGGCTGGCCCGAAACTCTCTTTATAGATGAGGATGACTTTGATCCTGGTCTTCCTGCCTCCACATTTCAGTGCTGAGTTTGCAGGCGTGCACCACCAATGGCCCATCATTTGCTGGGACTGGACCCAGGGCCTCGTGCATTCTAGGCAGTCACTCTATCTGCAGTTCTATGTCGGTCATTTATCTACCTGCCTACCTCTCTGTCTGTCCGTCTGTCCGTCCGTCCATCCATCCATCCATCTATCTATCCATCCGTCTACCTATCTATCTATCTATCTATCTATCTATCTATCTATCTATCTATCTATCTATCTATCTATCTACCTATTATCTTCTGTTCAGTTTTTTGGAGACCAGGTCTTCACATGGAAATTCCTGTTTAAAAATTAAACTGTTACAAAGCTAGGCACTATAGCAAGGGCAGCTGCGTGGGCCACAGTGAGGAAATGTGCATGATGCTAGCACCTTCGCTTACATGAGTGCATATCTCTTCCACAGACATCACAGAAGCAACGGGGCCTCCTTAGAGTGCACTGCCAACAACAGTAAAATAATACCAAATAATGGATTAAAATATTAAAACTAACAAGAAAAAAAACGTCTCTTCCCTACTTTCATGACCCACCTAACTGTCCAGCTGAATTTTAACTGATTGCTACATGGACAGTATTACACTGACCTAGACAGGAAGTAGGGGCGGGGCTCCCAGGGTCTTCCTTGGCTGTGCATTTCCATGCTGCTGCCATCCTGACCAGGAAACAGCATTCCAAGGTCTTCTGACTTCTTCCCTGCGCTGACCTCCAGGCTTGCCAGCCGCCTTGCTGACATGTACGCTTGCCTGCCCTAGGCTTGCCACCACCTTCAGTAAGCTGCGCTGTGTGGACTGAGATTTAAGCTTGCTCTGTGAGAGAGCTGCTCATATTCAGCTTTGTTTAACACCCCACTGCCCACTGCTCTGCGGATCTCTTCAGTTTCACGCTTTCTCCTGGGTTCTGAAGCCTATGGAGTTTTGTTTTGCGATTTCTTGCTGTTGTTAAGAGGGAGACCTCCTCTGTGGTTGCCTGCTCCATCTCTGATCTTTGCGGGACTCTTGCCTTATCCACATGCATTACTCAAACATTTTGGATGCTGGGTGCCTGTCTCTTTTGGTTCTGTGTATTACCAGTGTCTGCTCTTATGAGGACTGTCTGCTCCACCAGGGTCTTTCCCCTAACAACAAAACAACTTCTTTGATGGTGCCTTTTGATAATAAGAAAATTTTTGTTTTGCTTTTTGATTTGTCTTGTTTTGTTGAGACAGGGTCCCAGTGTGTAGCCCTATCTGTCCTGGAATTCACTATACATGGTCCCTGATGACCCCAGCTTGCTTCTATCCCACGGAGAACCAGCTTTGCTGGGATTAAAGTTGTGTGCCACCATGCCCAGCTAAAACAGAAGTTTTAAATTTGTTTACAGAAGAATATTTGTCCTGTTCTGTTTGAGAAAACTTTGCGTACTAACCATGATTATCATATGGAATGTCATCTTTAAAAGAGATATTGAGTGATGAGTGGAGCAACTCGGTGGCAGAACTGAGGCTTAGAGTGCATATAGCTCTGGATTCCCCAGCTCTCAAATCAAAACAAATAAAAGATGAAAGAATGTTGCTGGAACATAATTAGTTAATGGAATCTTGTTAGTTTGCAAAAGTTCTAGAGAGGTTTCTAAATAAGATGGAAATGCGAAGAACACCAAGAAACTTTACACAACTGGCGTGGTCATGACTTCAAGAGAATTTTACTAAATGTTGGTATATGATTAATCAGAAATTAGAAACCACTTCCTGGTGGCACTTTGATGTACATCTGCTTGATAGTTCATTTTAGTTTATTTTTAATGCTAATTACATACTTAGGTCTATTATAATCCAGCTTAATTCATCATCCTCTTTGTTTCCAGTGTAGATGCAAAGGAAGGTCTTACCACCCCTCACTCTCTCTGCTCCCCTCCTTTTCTCCCCTTCCCTCCCTTACTCCCTCTCCTTCTCTCTCTACATAGTTTTGCAGCATATTCTTTGCTGTAAGCCAAACGTCTACAAAGGTCGCATCCTGGAAGCTGCCGCTGTGCAAAGGATACTTTCTCCTCATCCTCAGAGCACTGTAAGCCTCTGCAAGTCAGCGGCTCTCAGCCTGCGGCCCGCGGGGTTGCGAGCAGGCATTTACATTATGAAAGCAGTAGCAGAACTGCAGTTACGAAACCAACAAAATAATTTATGGTTGGGGATGACCACAGTGAGGAACTGTATCAAAGGGCTGCAGCATAAGAAGGTTGAGGACCACTGCTCTAAGTGGCAGGATATATTTTTCAACTTTAGCCATCTTCTCCCTTCCTTGGGAACTGTTTGTTTTGAGACAGGGTCACACACAGTTCAGACCTCTACCTTGTTATGCAAGCAAAAGGCCACCAACCTATTCCCCTGCTTCTGCCTGACAAGTTTGAAGGTTACATATCTGTACCATCACACCAAACTGGAGCTTCTGTTACTCTGAGATATCGTTTCTTTTATTTGCAATATCTCTTATCAGTCCATATAAAACATACTGCTGTAGTATTTCAGTTTACGTTTAAGACTTCGTCTCCTTATATAGCTCAGGGTGGCTTTGAATGTGCAATCCTCTGCTTCATTATAGGCGTGGGTCACCATGATCAGCCTTGGGAGTGATGGATTTTTGAGATTGCATTGAATTTATTTATTATTTATTTATTATTCATTATTTTGTGATCATTTGTTGGAGAATAAATTGTCAAAAACAATATAAAACCTGTCTTATTTGTTCGGCTTTTATAGGCTCCTCTATCACAGATGGCCTCATTGGGTCTTCCTGAAGTTTTGAGCCATACTCACCCTGCTCTCCCTTCCCAACACCTTCCCAGAGCTGTGCATGCCAGTGAGACGTCACTTTGCCTGCTCGCTGCTCCCTTCCTTACACAGCTCACAATAAGGTTCCCATCGTCTGTCAGCGTGCTGCTCACTCATACCAGGAACAGCCGGCTTTCAGATCATACACTTACGAAAAGCCAGTCTTTGGGCTGCTGGTCTGGGGGATGCTCACTCTATCTAAGTCAACTAATTCTAATTCATAATAGAGTTGATGTCTGAATCATATAGGAAACAACCAGAGAGAAAACAGGAATCCCCATTAAACCTCAGCGTAACTGGCCCATCAGGGGCGCGCTGAAGTCACTTGCTTCTGTTTCTAACTATCGCTCTCCCTCTCTGAAGAGTCCTCAGTAAGGAAAAGGGTGTTTTGGCTCCTTGGAGCCGTCAGTTCTAAACTGCTAAGGCAGTCCTCTCTTCCAACTTCTGGCGTGGCATCCAAGCTCACTGATGAAGGTTTTATTTGGAGTGATGAAAACATTTCAGAAACAGACAGAGGTGACTGCTTTAAATGTCAGTGAGTTGTAATGCTTTAATTTTGCTATGTTAATTTCATACAGTATATATCCATCTACCTGGTAGTCACACACACTCTTTGTCTCATAATTCTGAGAGGAGTTCATGGCCAGCAGGGGCCCACAGTACCTGATCCAAACTGAGGAGAGGGAGAAGGGCTCCTCTTTGGGTTGCTGACTTGTGGAAATAAAGAGGACATGTGAATGACAGGCAAATAGTGAGCCAAGTGGCTGGAGATTACTAGAAGTTGGGAAAGGAGACTGAGAAAGGGGAAGGGGAAAGGGAAGGTAGGATCTGATTGGTATACATGAGACAGACGTATATATGTCTTGATTGTAGCCCTGATCGGCCAAATCCAAAGATTTACTGAGGAGTTGTGTTTTTCTCTTTGGTTATTTCTTATATTATCAGGCATCAAAATATATATTTTTTATATATACTATATGTTACATATGTACACATTATATATCATACACATATATGTATATCATATACACAGATAACACATATATCATACACATATATGTATATCATATACACAGATAACACATATCATATACATATATGTATATCATATACACAGATAACACATATATCATACACATATATGTATATCATATACACAGATAACACATATCATACACATATATGTATATCATATACACAGATAACACATATCATATACATATATGTATATCATATACACAGATAACACATATATCATACACATATATGTATATCATATACATAGATAACACATATCATACACATATATGTATATCATATACACAGATAACACATATCATATACATATATGTATGATATGTAAGTATATATATGCAATACATAAATTATAGAAAATCATACTGAATACCATTAAGATGCACACCTACTAACATTTTCTTAAAAAAAAAATGTTTTTCCTAAGTATGTGATACCACAGCACAAATTTTACCTCTCAGTCCTTTATTTTTGTTTTTAGTTCTTTATTTATTATTTCTTTGTGTGTGTGTGTGTGTGTGTGTGTGTGTGTGTGTGTGTGTGTGTGTGTATGTGTGTGTGTGTGTGTGTGTGTGAGAGAGAGAGAGAGAGAACTTGTGTGCTCCACATGCATGCAGGATCCTATGGAGCAGAAGAAGAAACTGGATCTCTCTGGAACTGAGTTACAGACAGTTGTGAGCTGCCACGTGGGTGCTAGGAATCAAACCTGGGTCCTCTGGAAGAGCAGCCGCTGTTCTTAACCACTGAGCCATCTCTCCAGCTCCCCAATAATGTTTTCTTAAAAGATAAACTGTAGTTTCACTAACTGCTTACTCCTTTAATAGTAGGTCCCCGGGAACTCATGTCTATTCAGTGCCAGATGGAAACAGTAACTAAGCTGGGTCTCAGGCCTACCTCTCCAAACACAGTTCTGGCTAGGACCTATTTGTCAACAAGCCTTAAAACTTATCCTAAAGCCTGGCACTGAGCTGAGTGTGGAAAAAATGCCAAATGTCCCAAACATCAGACGTCCTAAAAATTCAAATCCCAACCACAGGGCACAACATTCACCTCAGCAGCTAATAAACAGCAAAGGCCTCTGTGTTCATCACACATTGTAGAGAGAGAAGCCTGAAAGCTCCAATCAAGCTGAGCAATGGTTCTCAGCCTCCCTAACACTGCGACCCTTTAATACAGTTCCTCGTGTTGAGATGTACCCCGAACATAAAATTATTTTATGATTTTATGTTTGATGCTTCATAACTGTAATTTTCTTCTGTTATGAATCGTATTGTAAATATCTGATACGTGACCCCTCTGGGGGTTGCAACCCATAGGCTGAGAAGTGCTGGTCTAGAGGAACCTTGTCAAACTTACGTTACCAAGAAATAACCCTGCAGACAGAGTTCTGCGGAGGGAGTGACAGCTGAAAGCACTTCTGTCAATTCTCTTCAAGTATAAAAAGCACACTGGACTTCTCCACCACTGTTCACTTGGAATTTAGAAATAGAAATTCTATAACGGAGGGCTGTTCCAGACTCCAAGAACAGATTTAGATGGTGTGTTGGCGGTAGCTTTTCATGTGGGCAGTTTTGTTCCAGAATTGGTAGAACTTGAGCACAGACATCGAAAGTAAACAAAGAGAGCTCAGAAGGGAAATGTTCAACCTGTGGGTATGTGCAGAATTGTACGGAATTAAAGTTCTCTGGGTCTCCCTCGCCCCCCGTTAGACCGTTGATAAGCTACGTAAGCCCCGAGGCCTGGTTTACTGACATCATTGAATGTGCTGTGTCTTCTCACTGTGGTGATGGGAAGCAAGAGGTTAGAAAGCACTGTTAGGAAACAGTGTCTGCTGGACACGTCAGGGTCCTCAGCACTCATGAACTCACAACCAAGCCAGTCAAAACTCCAACACAGATGGGGGAGGAGCTCACAGAGGCTTCCCTCCTACGACTGAGGACTGAGACGCTTTGGCAGTTGGAGGCTGCTGGGGTCAGGAGAATCTTTTGTTTGTGGAACTGAGCCCTGTTGCGTGGCTTGTCTGCCAGGGAGTGGCCTGACACTCACATGTGGACAGTGCTGACAAACTCAGTGGACTATGAAGAGAAGACAGGAGGCTGGAAGGAGTTCGAGGCTGAGTGTGTGTAGATCTGACCAGAACAGATCGCACACATGTGTGAAATTCTCAAAGAATAAATAATAAAAAATATATATCTAAAATGATAAATTTTCAATTTTGAGTTTTCGTCATGAAAGCCTTGTGCAACAATTTTGCTTCATGTCCAGTGTACATTTTCATATTAGTAATAATGGACAGGGAGATGGTGGTGCTGCTTAGAGCTACTCTGCATGTTCTGTTAGGCACTCTAGGGCACGGGCCATCCTGACCCTTGATTCTTGCAATGTATCACTCCTAAAGGGCCACTGAAGGGCCTCCGGGAGCTGTGGTTGGGGATGCGCCTCCCACAGAGGTAAAGATAACCTAACAGAATAAAACTATTAAAACCTTTTCCCAGATCGCTCGTTCTCAATACTGTGTGTGATTCTTAAATTACCTGATACAGCCTTTACACAATTCCTCCTATATTCTCTTTGGACTCTTTAAGGAAGTCAATATTTACAAGACAGCCCATCAAAGCTGGCCCGCAGAACTCTAGTCAAAATTAGAAAAACCACTCCCTCCAAGTACTGTAAAGCCCAAATTTGGAGACAACAGGAGAGCAGGAACTGCAGGACTGTGAAGAGTGAGGGGTGCCAGTGAGCCTTTACAGATGAATGAGGTGGCATCAGCAGCAAGAAAACAGGACCATCAGGCAGGGATTGTGCCCCCAAGGCCCCTCTGGACAGGAGAGGGATGTCTGGAGGAGGGCAGTGCTCTAGTGAGGAAATGGGTGGTGGTCAGGGGAAAGCAGCCAGATAGTCCTCACGATTGTTATGAGCTAATAAGACAAAGGTTAGTTTTCACGTTACGCCTTTATTGCTGTTTTTACCAAGCCTGGCAGACTACGGGAAATTTCAGCTTCTCAAAAAAAAAAAAAAAAAAAAAAAAAGATCTAAAATAGATCTAGCCCACGTATTTAATATCTACCCTAAGAAGTTACAAGAGTGTCAAAAGCCAAAACCACTGTTTCTCAATACACCGTCTGTAGATAAAATGTGCATGTTTTGATCTTAGAACGTAAGGCCACATGTTGCAAAAGAATGCGCTTGTTATTTGACAGGACATGCGAGCAATGTATGGCGTCCAAGTTTACCGCGGACTCCAAACGGAGTATAGCATGTTAGTGTGTGTGTGTGTGTGTGTGTGTCCATCCTACAGGTCAAGCTTGGAGCCTTGAGAATGCTGGACAAGTGTCCTCCCTGGGAGTTATAGCCCAGGCCCTAGAGCCTCAGGGTTTTGTTTGTTTGTGTGTTTCTCATTTTGTTGTTTTTGAAGATTTATTTATTTACGCATATAGATGAGTGCTTTATCTGCATGCACACCTGCCTGCTAGAAGAGAGTATCAGATCCCTGTATACAAGGTTGTGAACCACCATGCGGTTGCTGAGAATTGAACTCAGGACCTCCGGAAGAGCTGACAGTGCTCGTAACCTCTGAGCCATCTCTCCGGCCCTAGCCTCATTTCTCAAGCTATTAAATTGCATTGTCTCTAGCAGACACACCCATCACCCTGTACTTTCATGCCTTTCTTCTATTAAAACTGATGCTTTGATCTCTTCTTAAGATTTAGATTTTATCGTTTATTTATGTGTCCATGTGTTTCTGTGTGAGTATGTGCCACAAGTGTGTGGGTACAGAGCTCCCACTCGAACACAGTACTTTAATGACAGGTGACCAAACTGGGGCCCGAGGATATGCAGACCTGTGCTCATTTGTGCTGTGTGCTGAGTCGGTATGACGTCAGAAAGTCCAACCTAACCCTAACTCCTGATGAGTCTCCCAGAGGGGTGCTGGAGGAGTAGGAGTTGCTCTTGGTGGCACTGAGCCACGTCTCCAGCTCCTGTTCTGTTTGTGACCCCCTCCTTCGTGGACCTAGCAGCTCTGGACTTGCACATTCCTGCGTGCTGGAATTCTTGGTAGAATTCTTAGAAGTCTTGGTAGAATTCTTAGAAGTCTTGGTAGAATTCTTAGAATTCGTGTAGAATTCTTTTCTGTTTTTTGTTTTGTTTTGTTTTTTCTGTGTGACGATTTATTTATTTTTATGTGGACGCCTGGCTTGCATGTGGCACTCTGCACCACCTGTGTCTGTTGTGCCCACAGATGTCAGAAGCACATGTTTGTTTCCTGATACTGGAGCTACCCACGTGATAGCCACCACAGAGGTACTAGGAGCAGAACCTGGAGTCTACGCAAGAGCGACAGGTACCAGCACGCTGGACGCATAGCTCAGTAAACACATAAAGACACCTTTCTTCCCCTCTGATTTGTGGAGGGCTGTCATGTGCTCCTGAGTCCTGGTTAGGCTTAGGGTTAGGGGAGGAACAAAGGTCTCCACATCTTTAGGCCCCAGATTTGTCACATCGGTGTCATTAAAGTACTGACTACGTCTGGTTGGGAGCTCTAGATTGTAGGCCCCATTGGCAGCACCCACTTCCCAAGTATCCATGTATCTTAGCATAATTTTAAACTGATATATTTTTAACAGTATCTTTCTAAGTTAGATGTACAGAATCAGTTCTTTCTTCACATAAATCTGACACTTTCTCTAACTTATATAAGCTTTTAAAAATGACTGGAGTCAGAACAACACAAACAAAAACTTAGACCTCCTCCCTGAAGACTGGGAGTCATTCCCAGATGAGACCGACTTGGGATATAATTTATTCTTACTAACAACAGCTCATAACTAAACAAAAACAGTCTGGCAACTGCAAGGAAACACACTTGGTATCAGAAAAATCCCAAAGCAGCACCAATGCACATAGCTTTTTAAAATGAGAATCCAGGTCTGATTTTCCCTTTTTCCTGCTTGGATCCCACCCTGATGGAGAGGAGGAAACTCCCACCGTTTGGAATCTCGCTAACGCCAGGCCAACGACAGCGCACACAGGTCCCATCACACAGGAAGCTGGAGTCATTGCGACTGCTATCTTTACCTGGTGCTCAGCCATCTGGCTTTCTGGACTCCGGCCGGGCTGGAGGCTCTCACTCAGCTTCATCTCCATGGCCTCCATTTTGGTTGAGACAGACTGGAGCGAGTCTTGGTACTTCTGCTGGCGTTCCAACGCTTCGTAGAGCGTCCGCTGTTTTTCACTGATCTGAACAAGAAAGGGGATCTTACCAACGGCTTCCTACTTCTTATCTGGCAGGTTGTGACACTTCTTTCCTCACAGCTTTACCCAAGGGCGTCTGACTGTGTCCTAGATGTGTAACTCTGCAGGTATTTCATAAGACAATACCTAAAGCTGTGGGAGTCTGGCGAGCTTGACCACCGCAACGTTTTAAAGGCTTACCACATTTTTTAAGGTTTCCCAGGAACGCTGCAAGTCGCCCAGCTTGGCAGTCGCTGAAGGCTCCAGCCCTGGCTCATACAAATCTTGGGATGCAGCAGCGCTGGGGGGAATCCTTGCCGCCTCTGTCTGCAGCCCCTCTGCAGATAGGGCTTGGTAGTACGCAATGTCCTGGGTGGAAAGCACAGTGTCAGAGCGGGAAGGAAAGGCAAGTTCAGCGTGCTTAGGAAACAGTTCTTCATGCAGTGAAAAGACTTAAGATTTACATTCATTGGTGGGTGCTACAAACTCAGTAGGCTAGGACATTTAAAAATAACATTTAAAAATAAAGATTAGAAAAAGAATAGCAAAGAGTATTACAATTGCTTTAATATTCTCATCAAAATGAAAAGAAATCAAGCATATCACTATTTCAAATTGCCAAAACACCTTCTTATTTCATACTTGGTAAAATGGTAATGCAAACTATTCAGGCAGTAGCTTCTATTTAGCAGGCTTACTTCTATTTAAGCAGCATACCTCTCTTTAACCAGCACACCTCTCTTTAACC